GTAACATGAACCTATGCTGTAATGGTAAAGGTATGAGAGTTTTCACCTTGCAGAATCAGTGTCTCTTGTAATGTATTTCACATGTGTTTTGCCGAACAGGAGGACACCCATGTCAAGGAGACCCAAGCCTCCTCCAAAGCCAAAAACTTCAGAGAGATTTATTGAGCGTGATCCTGTTGAGGTATACTGCCGTATTCGCCCACCAGAGACCCCAAACCAGGAAGAATGTGTCACAGCTGTGGACTCTCGCACTGTTAAGTATGTGATTAATCGAGAAATTTAATAGTTAGTTTATTTACTTTATTATTGTTAATATATGTAATGCAAAGAACTGCTTTAATGGTTTATTTATAGGCCTATATTTGCTTTGTTGACAGGTAATTAAGGAAAAGGTGCTTTAATCCATTTTTTATTCTCTGTTTCAGCTAACACCTCCAGACACCTGCTTTGCATTCCGCAATGGGCATGCCAAAGAGCAACAGTACAAATTCCGACATGTATTCAACCCAGACTCCTCGCAGAAAGATGTGTTTGACTATGTTGCCAAGCCTTTGGTGTCTGATGTGTTGCGGGGGAAGAATGGTCTTCTGTTTGCTTATGGTGTTACAGGTTCTGGGAAAACACATACAATGCAGGTAAGATATTTTCAGGTTTATTAAAGATGTATTGTCCAGTTTTTCTGAATCTTGTGCAGTGCTTCTTGAAACTCAAGGTTTTTGCTTTGACTTCTCATGTCATATGATGAATTGGTTGATAAAGCTTTTTATCACTGTGTTTTGATTAGCAAAGAATTAGTGAAAGACTATATCAATGTAAATAGATGAGCATTTAGATAACATTACTATCATATCTATTAGATACATTGATATATATAAACATTTTCAAACAAAAAGTTAAAGAATCTCGTTTAAACTTTTTTTCCTGTTTTATCAGGGATCACCCATGATGGAGGTATTGTTCCAGGACATTAGATGTCATTTTCAATAGCATTAATGAATACCAAACAAAGAGGCGCATCTTCAAGCCAGACGGAATGAATGGCTTCGATGCTCAGTGTGAATCGGATGCTTCCAGTGAGCGACGGAGGATTGACGCCACACCCATTTATCCTAAAACGCCAAAGACCCCCAGATACAGGTAAGGAAATTATTGGAAGAAATTGATAGGTTTTAATTTTTTGTGTATTTGGAACATTTTGGGATAGTTTGGTAACAACAGGGATTACAGGATTTTGGAGGAATTACTTTAGAGAGGAATGGGAAAAATAGGATTAGTAGGAAATGTATGAATGTTTGCTGAGGAATCACTAAATGGAGTCAGAAATGTATAAGTAGCTTGTTGGAAAGAAGTTTTTAGGGAACCCCTGTCTGCTGGTATTGTAAGATCACAGTGGTATAAACAGATTTTCATGTTCACATTTATAATAAGGACTAAACTAGTTTTAAAAAATCATTGTAGTTTGGAAAATGTGATAGCTACATCACTTTCAAGCTACAGAGAACTCTTGTTGAGATTAATCATGATGAAAACTCTTTGCCTGTAATGTTGAATTTTAGTTTTGTATTGGTACATAATCATCCTCCACAGCACTTGTTTTATGCTTCGATTTTGACATGATTTTCTCACCAAGTAAGCCATTCTTTGCTGAATGCTTTAATGTCTCCATAATTTGGGTCTTGCGTCTAACTCTTGGTATTAGCCATCTGAACCTTTCTTTGTCTCTCCTGTTCTCTTGATCAGTCAACTCGCATATCTAGAACAGTATTGCAAGCTCCCGGCACAATTTATCAATGACTGACCGGCAGATTTTATTCTTTCTTCATGAGATCTTGGGTTCATCTTGATTGAAGTTTTTCATATTTTGAAATCTGATATTTCATTTATATTGTGTATCAGACTGACTCAGTTTGAATTTTTAAAGCCACATCTGCTGCATTGTTCATATCGGTCTTTTTCATAGAAGATAGGGATATCTAATACTCAAAAATAATGAATAGTTGGTAAAATCAACATTGAAAACTTTGAGGTTAAGTAAGGTGATTTCTTAGGTTGCTATAGTTACAGAATGTTGACTCATTCTGTCTATTTTTTTTTTCTGCTTCACATTTACAATCCAGTTAAATCAAACTTCCTAGATATTTATGCTCTTGAACCTACTTAACACTTATCCCTATTGACATAAAGTGCATGCTCAAGTACCCTGGACTGTGGTTTTATTTTTTAATTTTGTTTACATATTGCTGACTTTAGAAGTAGTTAGTCACCAAGGGAACATTTACATGGCCTACCTGATCTTGTTATATTTATGCCATTCCTTTATTTTTTTTGGAAAGAAAACAATTATTTTTATTACTGTCATTAAATGATAAATGAATAAGAAATAAGGATACAATTAAAATGAAAATGACCACAATAGTGCCAGAAACAAACTTTTTCTTAGAAGTGTGAGGAATGGGTAAACAAGTGAGATATAGTAGGCCTTGTAACTGGAAGACTTAAGTGTTTGTGAAGATATCTGTTTATAGAAAATTGAGAAAACAAAACTTGAATAGACCCTACACATGCCTGGCGCCAGTGGGTTCAATATCTCATCGAAATCAAATATTTTTAAGATCATGATTAGCTTTCTTACTAATTTCTTTACCATAGTCTTTACATAAAGTACATCGCTTTCATAGCATATGCTGTAGACTTTATGGACTTGATAAGATGCTGTTCATAATGTTAACACTATTAAACAACATTCCTTGCTATCTTTTCATCTGCCATATAAATACAAAAGGGTTAGGAGAAAGGATACATGCTTGCCTTGCTTCCCTTTGAATTTTGATCTTTATAGTTTTTTTACTTTAGAGTTGACTATTACTAATTGCTTCCGGTAAAGATTTAAAATAAGCCGAATTCTGTGACTAGAAATGCTAATTTCTTCTTTTGCATTGTTTTGAATCCTAATCCTGTATTTGTAATTAGGGTTTTCTTTGCTCTAGTTATAAGTACAATTTTTGATGCATGAGGGATCAAGCAGTTTATTGCTATATCTATTTTAGGGATTGGAATTAAAGTACTTTGTATAAAAAAAAATTGTCTATGAACCTGTTTTACAGACTGCTTTTAAAAGTTAGGTAGCAGTTAAATATTCACATTGCTGGAAGTGTGAAGAATTTTTGCATGATCATTTAGATGGTATATTGTATTTTTTCTGCATTTTTTTTTTTTTTTTTTTTTTTTTTTTTTTTTATTATTATTATTACCTTCATAAATGTCTTTTCCATGATTATATATTTGATCCAATTATTGCCCTTCATAAGTTTTCTGCACTGTGTTAAACCCAAACCAACTTAAACTATTAATATTCTCATGTTCTTTATAAAATCTCTAGCTATATTTATCAAATTCATTTTGTGTTTTGCATTTGCCATCCAAATAAGCACCTATAGCATTTCTACATTTTCTTTGAATTTGCTGTACAAGTGTGCCATCTAATATTTATTATATTTTTTGCAATTCCAATCATGTCTTCAATTTTTTATCCCTGCTTTAGGGATGTATTTCATACATTTGAAGTATTTTCACTTTGACTAGTATTTTTTTTTATTTGATTCCTGAAATTCCAGAAATTATCTTTGTATCATAAATTTCTAAAATATTTATCATACTTTTCTTTTCTTTTGGATGTATAGTGAAAGTGTTTCAGATGACTTAAGTGATTCTATAAGATGATGATGTAATGTAATTTATTTTATAGCCATGACCCATATCATGTTTGTATTGCTTTCTTCTATTTTATATAGACGAGACACAAGTGGCTCCCAAGATAGCTCTCAGCGGATCCCAGACACCTCAAGAATTGAATGCATTGATGAGGATAATGTGTTCTCAATCTTTGTTGCTTACATTGAGATCTATAATAATTATATATATGACCTCCTGGAAGATTTATCTGATGCAGGGCCATCTGGGTGAGTGGAAACTGTATGCTTGCATATATGTGGATTTGTGTATATATTTATGATTTATGTACTTCAATGTTTGAATGCTTTAAAAATACCGCAAACTTTGTTAATTTGGACCGAAAAAATGTACCCTTGTAATTATATATTCATATGATATACTATTTTATATAGGTGCTGACAAACTTTTCATTCACAGACGACTGCAGACCAAAATCTTGCGTGAAGATGCCCAACACAATATGTATGTACATGGGTGCACAGAGGTTGAAGTGAAGAATCCAGATGATGCACTGGAGGTGAGTTGTAGAACTTGGGGTAGATGAAGGTTTCAAGCTGAATAGTTGTGTGATTAATATTTTGTTTCTACAAGGTTTTAATGGTATCACTGAGGTTGCCCTGCTTATGTTATGACTTTGAAGTCCATAAAGAGGCCAAATTAATGGAAAGATTGCAATTAAGCTTGCCTTGAGATAAATAATAGTACAGCTGCGTATTTATATCAGCAATGATTACAATTTACTAGATGTGATCACTGATAGTACAAACTAGTCATAATTGTGGATCATATAAGAGTGCAGGTTGGTATGATTAAGAAATAACACAAATTTCTGATTACAGGTTTTATACAAAGGTCAGAGAAGGCGCAAGATTGCTTATACGCGTCTAAACTGTGAATCTTCTCGGTCACATTCCATATTCACAATCAGAGTAGTCCAGGTAAGTGTTATCTCTTTAGAAAGTATTCTTATGCCATAGAAAAACATATGATGTCTTTTGTCTTATTTCTTGCACTGATACAGGAAACATTTAACAAGGAAGTGTAATCTTTTTCAACCAATTGTATCTTGCACCATAGAAGAAGTTTCTGAAAACTTTGTACTTCATTCAATCTGTTTTTCTTCCTTTTGAATAATAACTAATGGCAAGTGATACTGCACGTTTCACAAGATACTTTCTATGTTGTCACATATTCTTATGTTTATGATGTATCAGTAATATAGTCTCTTATTCTATATTCAAAGAGTATAATCTGAGGCTTTGGGAACTTGCAATCTTACTGGAAGATGATTGGAAAGCTTTTAGTGCAACAAGATTGATTGATATACTTAGGACCACAGAGTCGATCAATATTGTATTATTATAAACATAAGACCATAATTCAACTGAACACTTACTTGGGGTTAGAGTGATTTATTATTTCATGTTGAAGAATTGAATCTAGATTAATGAAAATTATTGTAAGGTTCAGTTATCTTGCAGTTCTGAACTTTGGGTCTTCTATTTAAAATTTAATCTGTACTCATTGTAACTATTCATCTGGACAAGTGGGGAGTAAAAGGAGAGGGAGAGAAAGATGACTTGTTAAGAAATGTAATTTTCACTATAGCTTACATTGCATTACTTAGATATAACATAATGCTAACATAATTCAGTTGGTAAATCAGACTTCTTTATTTCAAATTACCATAATGATCTAGTAGGATAACATTAAGATCTGGTATACCACAAATTCATCAATAGCTGTTTGTGTCTTGCAGAATTCGATAACCTCATCTACACCAGGGCTGTCAAACTCATTTGGGACCACATTTCACCTTAGTATACAGTATTTATTAGCGGTTCATATAATCATGATTAGAGCAAAACTAGTACAATTTCATTCATTACAAAAATACAATAAAAGAGAGTGTAAGCGATATTCTTAAAAGGCGAAGGACTGGCATTACTGGGCATATAAAACCGCCGACTGTAATACAGAAGTAGCAAATGTGCCGCCGGCCGCACATGAGTCTAGCAGGCCGTATTTTTGACAACCCAGATCTACACTTTGAGCAAACGAAAAAGAATGGTAGGAACAGATATGATAGTGGGATTTACACTGGGGGGAATTAGCACAACATTCCCAGTAGGTCAGGAATTCATTGTTAGAACCTGTGTGGGGCTTTACTACATGAAAATTCGGTCTCTTCAGGCTATATTTAGCCAACTTGACCATGATTTTAATAATGAAAACCGCAACAGAGTTAGTGTGTCAAATGTCCGTAATAAGAGTAAAAAAAAAAAAAACGGTAAACGTGGTGAAAGGTTGACATCGTGTGTCTTATCGAAAATAGCAGTGGCAGCTGAATCGCTTGCCTTGATGAAAGATGGATATGTAGAGCAATACTGTAATGCCGGTTAATGGATGATGATTATAGAATGCTTGACTGTAATGTAGATTATGGGAAAAGGGGAATGTTTGGAAAATTGGTTTTCTTTGTATGTGATGTAAAAGGGTGGCGAAAAGGCATTATGTCAATAAGTTGTCGGTATTTACACAATGCCGCCATCTTGAACATTCTACTGTCGCTATTAATGGAAATTTCAGTCATGAATGCCATGTAGGATAACGTAAAAATAGAATAGGAATCATACACCTTGAAATCATGTATATATTGAACAATTCTTAAGTAAATGCAGTATTCAGTTCCAGTGATAAGCATGCAGTATATACCCGCTAAAACCCGACGGTACACTCCGGTAGTCAAAATACATTAAGCCTTTTGTCCAGTTCCTCACACCACGGTCAAACATCCTCACACATAGGAGTAAAAGACACTCCCGCCCCCATTCACGCGTGCCTCCCCCTGCGCCCCTCCCCCGAGTAACACCTGTGGGTATCGTCATGAAGGTGTGATGTTCACCTCGTGCAAGTGGCTTGTGCCGGTCTGCGGTCACATCGTTAAGAATTGCTGCGGAATTGTTTGACGTTAAGATGAATTATAAATAAGCATTTTTTAGTCATTGTTGAAATTTACCTTGTGAATTTCAGGGGTATCGGATACACTTACATACATGCAATCAAGATTTGAGGTTCAGTTACGATCCCACGACATGATTTATCCTTTACTTATTATTGGTCTCATTTCCAGGCCCCGCTAGATGCCCAGGGCGAGGAGGTGGTGACGGACAAAGCTAGCATGATGGTGTCTCAGCTGTCCTTGGTTGATTTGGCTGGCTCAGAGCGTAACAACCGGACCAAGGCTGTTGGCGACAGGATCAAGGAAGCTGGTGAGTATCCGGGTGATGTAGTTGGGTTCTTGTTGGATATTAATTCTATTTTGATTGGCGTTTTGAAGGGTTGTAAGATGTGGAAGCTGTAAATGGGCATATCCGGTTACTTAGGGGTGGTTCAATATTTTCACTTTCACAAGTGTACAAAGTACTTTTTGCTGCCCCCCTTTTCCCCTAAAATACAAATATTGATGCCAGACAGGCCAGTCCTGTGAAAATGTAATGATAGTCATGATTAATTAGGGGTGATTTTCATTTGGGAGTAGTATCAGGACAAGGTAACAGTATCAGCCACAGATACTGAGCACTCGTACGATCTGATATCAACATTTTTCATAGAATTTAAAAAGCGTGCTAGCGGGTTTAACCCCCTCCCCCTAGCATGCGCTTTGTACGGTCGTGAAAACGTTGACAATTTTGAACCACCCCATAGGTAGAACAGAAGTTTAATAGCGTGCAATCGCATTCGCTGTAGTATATGAGATTTATTAAA